ACCCCCCCCCCCCTCCCCTCCTCCCGCACCCGGCCATGTCCGACTATCACGTGGTGGAGCTCATCGGTGAGGGCTCGTTCGGCAAGGTCTACAAGGGCCGCAAGGCATACTCGGCGGTCACGGTGGCGCTCAAGTTCATTCCAAAGTTTGGCAAGTCGGCAAGCGAGCTGGAGGCGTTGCGGCAAGAGATCTCCATCCTCAAGGGCCTCGAGCATCCAAGCATCATCGGCATGCTTGATTCGTTCGAGACCTCGTCCGAGTTCTGCGTGGTGACCGAGTACGCCGAGGGTGAGCTGTTCCAGATTCTGGAGGACGATGGGAAGCTGCCAGAGGTTCAGGTCCAGGTCCTCGCCCGCCAGCTCACCGATGCTCTGCAGTATCTCCACGCTCATCGCGTCATCCACCGCGACATGAAACCGCAGAACATCCTCGTCACCTCGGACGGCCGCATCAAGCTCTGCGACTTTGGCTTTGCCCGCTCCATGTCGGCCTCTACCCTCGTCCTCACCTCGATCAAGGGCACTCCGCTGTACATGGCGCCCGAGCTTGTCCAAGAGCTGCCGTACAACCACACCGTCGACCTCTGGTCGCTCGGCGTCATCCTCTACGAGTTGTTTGTCGGCAAGCCGCCGTTCTACACCACATCCATCTACTCGCTCATCTCACTCATCGTCAACGAGCCTGTCCACTATCCGGACGGCATGTCGCCTGACTTTGAGGACTTTCTTCGTGGCCTCCTCAACAAGGCTCCTGCAGATCGTCTCTCGTGGCCGGCCCTCGCCGAGCACCCGTTTGTCGTCAACGCGCCCGACTCGATCCCCTGCCCGCAGTTTGCCGTCTACTACCAGACCCAGGCCCGAGTTCCGCCGCCCATCACTGCCGCTCAGGCCGCCGAGATGGATCCGGCAGCTGCAGACGGCCAGCCGTCGACCGCAAAGCCTATAGCCCCGCTGCGCGCTCGCTCGCAGACAGCCGCCGCCCGCCCTACCGTTGCGGGTCTTGTTGCCGAAGTTCTGCCACTTTTCGCGAATGCAAGCCCAGCGAGTGCTCCCAGCCTTGCCGACGCCCTCACTGCCCTTGTCCGCGCCCTCTCGGCCGATCCGCCGGCGCTGACGCCGGGCCTCGCCGCCGAGCTCGCGCCCGCTCTGGCAGACTTTCGCCCCGCCGCCACTGCCTCTGGCTTTGGCCGCATCGCCGCTGGCCTCGCCGCCCTCGTCAAGATCTGGTCGCGCCTTCCACCCGAGCTCCTGCCTGCGCTCCTCGGTGCGCTGACCCGCACGCTTGCCGAGCTTTGCTGGACCGACCTCTCCTCTCTCGGCATCGCTGACGAGCTTGTGCGGATGCACGGCCTCCCGCAGGCACTCACTTCCCTCGTCCTGGACGTCGGCGCCATGGCCGACCACTCGGCCGCTGCCGCCGGCCTCTCCGCTCTCACCGCTCTCGCCCAGCTCACCGCCGGCCTTCCGCCGTTTCTCCCACTCTCGTCACTGGCCGATGGCCCCAGCCCGCGCCACACCATCCACTCTCTCGTTGCCAGCGCCGTGGTCGATGGCGGTGAGGCCGCGCTGACCGCGCTCTGCTCCGCCGGCCGCAACGGTGGCGAGTCCAGTCTCGCTCGCTTGCTCCTTGTCCTTGTCTCGGCCGCGCCCGCACTCTCCGATGCCATTTGCCTTCACCCGTCCATCCCGGACCTTCTTCTTGGTCCGCTGGGCGCCATGGAGCCCGCGGCGCTGCGACTTGTGGCGCTCATTCTCTACCATCCGCCCGGCAACATGTTTCCGGCGTGGACTGGCCACATCCCGCTCGCGCCGCTGCTGGCGCTGGTGGCCGACGGCCATCCCGCCGCCGCCCGCGGATCAGACGCCGCTGCCGCTCTCATGGCTGCTCTGCTGCGGCATCCGGCCATGACCGCTGCGCTATGCGAGCCGGCTCGCCTCTCGCGCATGCTGGGTGTAGCACAGGCCGCGCTCACTGCAGCGGCAAAGACCGATCCTGCCGACGTTGCCGGTGGCGGCGCGAGTCTCGTCGGCTGCGCCGAGGCCGCCGTCTTCTCGCCGTTTGACGGTTGGGTCACCCTTGTCTACCGCCTGCTCTCTGTCGGCGGCGCCACCATGGCCCGTGCTTTCGTCGACGCCAACATGCTCGCCACGCTCGCCGCGTTGGCTGCCGCCCCTCGGGTCCTGGCCCGCCGGCACTCGTCGCCACCATGCGGGTGCTCTACGAGGTCACGTCTGCCAGCCTCCACGCGAAAACGCCCCCGCGCGACATCCTTGCCACGCTCGTCCCGTCGTTGCTCGCAGTTCTCGATCCGGCTCTGCTCAGCGACATCGCGACGTGGCCATTGTCGTGCGGTGGCGGCCGTGAGCGTGTCTCGCTCCTCGCCTTTCAAGTTTTTTCCATCATCCACCTGCCGCTGCAGCAGAGTGTGCCCGACACGCTGCCCGCACTCCTCGAGCTGCTTGTGGCACAGGGCGTCATCCCTGCTGCCGTCGCCGCACTCCCGCTTGTCGAGCCGTCGCACGTTGACACCGCGCTCGGCCTCGTCTCGCGCATCGTGCTCGCGCTCCCAGGTGGCGCCGCCGAGTTTGTTGACGCGGGCGGACTCTCACCCACCGTTCTCGGCCCACTCCTGCCGGCTTCCAGCCAGAGCCCGCTCTCGCCGCCGGGCCTTATCGACGTCCTACTGATCCTCTCGCAGCTGGCGCGGCTCTCGGCCTCGTACTACCCGCCGATCCTCGAGTCGGGCGTGGTCGGCGAGCCGCTGGCGCACGTCCTCGACCACAACGACGGCGAGGTCCGTGCCAAGGCGTGCAACCTGCTCGGCAACCTCTGCCGGCACTCGGGCTTCTTCTACGCGGCTCTCGCTGACTCGCGGCTGCTGGCGAGCCTCATCGCGGCCTGCTCCGACACCCACGATGGCGCCCGCAAGTTTGCCTGCTTTGCCCTCGGCAACGCCTGCTTCCACGATGCCTCCATCTACTCGCAGCTCGGGCCGGCCATTGCTCCGCTCGCCTCGCTCCTTCTCGACGAGGCCGAGGCCGAGAAGACCCGGACCAACGCCGCCGGCGCCCTTGGCAACCTCGCCCGCAACTCGGACCTCCTCCTCCCGCAGCTCTTCACCGACGGCGCCGTCGACGCGCTTGTCGCCGTCCTCAACGCCGCCTCGCTCGTCCGATGCGCCGCGGTCGCCCGCATCGCTCTTTTCTCGCTTGGCAACTACTGCTCATATCCGCCGTATCGTGCACAGCTCGCCTCGGTCCCGCATCTCGTCCCGCGTGTCCAGGCCGCCTCCGCTGCCGCTGATCCCACCCTCGTCAAGTACGCCGCCCGCGTCCTGCACAAGCTTGGCCAATGAACGCACCACGACCGCCACTTCACCCTCCCCCCTCCCCCTTCCACCCTCCACACACACACACACACACACACGATGCTATGTTCCCTGCGCCACCCGCGGGCAAGCCTCCTCCTCCGAGCACTGTCGCTCCGGGTCGGAGGCGTCTCGGCGGCTGCGGCCGGCGGCGCGGCCGAGGGCTTCCTCCAGCTGCCGCGCGGCAAGCCGCTGGCCAAGATCTCGGCCGAGTATGTGGAACCCCTGCCTCCAGCCGAGTTTGCGGGCAAGATCACGGTGACGGCGAGTCTGGACGAGGCCAACGAGGCGGCGGCGGCGGCCGGCTGGTGGCCGCGGCGCGAGGATCCAGCGCCCGGGGCCAGCAAGCCGCTGCTGCTGGGCATGGACGCTGAGAACGCGCTCCACTGGGACCGGACGACGGCCAAGTCTGCACCGACCTGCGTGCTGCAGCTGGCGTCGGACAATGCTGCACTAGTGCTGTCGATCGCGCGGCCTGCGGCGCGGGCGGCGTTTGCTGATCGCTCGCGGCCCAACGCGGTCCGCGACCTCATCGAGGCGCACGACGTGGCGCTGGTGTGCCAGGGTGCAGCCGGCGACGTCGGTCCGCTGCACTCGGAGTTTGGCATGTTTGGCTCCTCGTTTGTGGATCTGCTGGAGGTTTCGGCCCTCGCTGGCCTGTATCCGCTCAAGCTCCGCTACGCCGTGGCACAGGTCCTCCGCCTGCGGCTCTCCAAGAAGGAGCAGATGTCCAACTGGCGCCGGTGGCCGCTGACCCCGTCGCAGGTTGCGTATGCCGCCACTGACGCCTGGGCGCCGCTGGCTGTTTATCGCGGCCTTGCTGCTGCGCATCCGCATCTCGCCGCGGCAGTCGATGCCCAGCTTGCAGCCGGCGGCCCGCCGCCGGAGCCCGGCGCGCCGCGCCTGGTCGTCTCGACCCGCCGCATGCTGGCCAAGCCACTGCCCGCCTGGGCAGGACCCGAACTCGCCGCCATGCTCGAAACACCCTTTGACGATGCCGCATCGTGGCCGCACACCCACCCAATGGTCCTCGTCAACAACCTGGCGTCATACTACCGGGCCCGCGTCGTCCGCTCGCGCAATCATCTTGGTCTCCGGCTGCGTACGGCTGCAGCGACGCTCCGCACACCGCTTGACACCTCGCCAGGCTCCGACAAGCGGACCCGCCTCGCCCGTGCCGCCCTCGCCCTCCTCGCCGACCTGTCCGCCTCGCCAGATCTCCAGGACGCGCTCATCGAGTCGCGCCTGGCCGCACTTGCCGCGTCTAACCGCAACCGCACCCCAGCATGATTGCCTATCACGCGCGTTCTGTCACGTACCATGCAGGCTACGCCGGTAGCGACCATGCACAGGCTCTCCACCTTGGACCAAACCCCTTCGGCATGGTCCTGTATGGTGACGGCATTTGCCGCTACGCTTCCCTCCCTTTATCGCACTGCTTCCGGACGTGGACATGGATTGGCCAGCCAGCCAGCTCAGCATTGGCATCGGCATCGACATCGGGATCAGCATCATGCTGATGATCGGCATTCGCATGCGCGTTCACATTCACATCGAGCGGGTCCCCCCTCGTCCTCCCCCCCCCCCCCCCCCCCCCCCACCCTCCACCAACGCCCACTCAACTCCCCCCCCCCCCCCCCCCCCCCCCCACCCTCCACCAACGCCCACTCGACTCCAAAATTTTGAATGCCTCCGGCGCGCCTTTCGATCTCGCGCCAAACAGCCTCACCCTCGCATGGTGCCACCGCCAACGACGACCGGAGGGAGAAGGTGCGCAGACGCAAGCGCAGGCGGACAGTGGTAAGTACCGTACCCATACCCTTCCACTTCCCCGCTTCCCCTCCATGTCTGTCCCCTGTCCCCACTCACTCCCCCACCCCCTCCCCTCGCAGCTGACCCAGGAGAGCCTGGCCCAGGCTGGGGCAGCCGTGGCCGAGGAGATGCGCGGAGGGCCGACCATTGGCGGGCGCAAGTCTATTGCTCCCGGGCGCAAGTCCATTGCTCCCGGGCGCAAGTCTATTGCTCTTCGTCAGCCGCGAAAGTCCATCCTTCCGCCGCCGCTGCTGTCGGGCATCCAGCTGACAGACCTGTACTCCAACTGCCTCAAGATGTCGGCCGAGAACAAGATCAACCAGAAGAACACCTGGGGTCTTAATCTCATCGACTACATCGACGACATTGTTGAGGAGGACGAAACCGACTTTGCCCGCGCTTCTTGCACCATCGACGCCTCCATCAAGATCTACTCCACCCGAGTCGACGCTGTCCACATCGACACTTACAAGGTCCTCGGCGGCCTTGCGCGCACAAATGGCCCGGGCGGCGAGAACGGCGAGGATGATGCCGATGCTGGCGGTGAGAACAAGGAGAACGACGAGTTTGAGTCGGATGATGACGACGACGAGTACAGCCCCGGCGGAAAGCGCAAGGCCAAGACCAAGACCAAGGACGCGAGGGCGGCCAAGGCCAAGGCCTCGGCAACACTCGAGGCCAACATTGCCAACCTCAACACGGATGCCCTCGACCTCGACTTTGACATCGACCCGCTGTTTCAGAAGACCTCGGCCGAGTTTGACGAGGGCGGTGCTCGCGGCCTCCTCCTCAACCATCTCACGCTCTCCGAGTACGGCCAGCTCATTTTTGGCTCACACATCTCCATCTCGTCGGCCGGCGCCGGAGGCGCTACCCGCCCCGAGCCCGAGCCTATCGACTTTACCGACGCCCGCAAGATCTACGGTGAGCCCGAGTACGCCTCGCTCCAGATTTGTCCCGAGTTTGTCACCTTTGCCGCCGCCCAGTGGGGCCGCAACGTAGGCCCGGCTCCTTCCGATGCGCCTGCAGACGCGCCAGCAGATGCTGCTGCAGACACTTCGGCGACCAGCGCGTCGCGTGCCGACTTTTTCGCCGCCATGGCCGCCACCACCAGCGGTGTCGAGGAGGCCGTGTGGGAGGAGGCCGACTTTGACGACGACGACGACGACGACGATGCGGGCGCTGGCTCGTTCCGCCTTCACGACTCGGGCCTCTCGGCCGCCTCGCTTGGCATGACTTCGTTCTCGTCGGCGGGCACCTCCTCGTCCGATGCGCTCGCCTCGCTCTTTGGTGCCGGCCACGCCACCGCCGCCGCTGCCTCGGCCCTTGACTCGGTCCTCCGCATGACCAAGGAGTCGAGCGTGGCCTCCGAGTACGGCTTCTTTGCCCCAGGCGCCGTCAAGTCCTGGGCTGGGCCAACCAACTGGAAGTACTCGGGCTCGGCCCGCGCCCGCGCCGCCGCCAAGTCGGACGGCTCGGCAAAGTCCAAGAAGGCCAAGTTCTTCCTCCAGCTCGCGCCGCCCCTCGCCATCGACCTCGCTACACTCGGCAAGACTTCGTCCAAGTCGACCACCCTCAAGGCTTCTACTCTCGCCAAGGCGTCCAAGGACGCCCACCTCCTTCCGCCCGACATCCACTACGACATTGCCGAGCTCACCCACTTTGCGCTCCGCCCCTCGTTTGCACTCTCGCTCCCCGGCGCTGCCGCCGCCCACCACCCCACCTCGATGGCCGCGGCGCTCTCGAGCCGCGGAGGCGGCTTTGGCGGCTTTGGCTCCGACAACGACGACGATGACAACGGCGAATGGGCGTTCTTTGGTGACGCTCCGGACGCCCCCGGCGCGGGTACCGACCTCGGCGACGCCGACGTCGACCTGCTCGACGATCCGCGCCGCGTTGCCAAAATCGACATCAACTACGAGCGTGTCGCCAAGAAGGTCGATGTCAAGGCGCTCAAGCGTGGCGTCTGGGCACAGCTCACGGTCGACGAGCCGCGTGAGGCGCTGGCGTCCAAGTCGGCCCTCCCGCCGCGGATGGACGACGAGCGGGCCGTCACCTTTTCGTCGGTTGTCGCCGACCTGCCATCTACTCTCCCGCGCCGCGTCATGCAGGATGCCTCGGTGCCCTTTGCCTTTATCTGCCTCTTGCACCTCTGCAACGAAAAGGGCCTCATGATCGAGGGCTCGCCGGACATGACCGACTTTGTCGTCCGCCAGGATCCCGACGTCGTCGAGCCCGATACGCACTGACTGCTTAAACTGTACACTTGCTTCGCTACACCACGCACCCGAGGCGGCCCGAGCTCGCCCGCGTTTCGGCTATCGCATCCAGCTCTGCGCTAAGCAGCCACTGAGCGAGCGAGGCGTCTTCTTCGCGCCGTGCCAGCGAGCGCGCCTCGCCGAGCCCGTCGTCTCGGCACATTTCCCATGCCCGCGCCTTCTGCACTCTCAGCGGTACCATGGCGCGAGTTGTCGCAGTGCCGAGCTCGGACAAGGAATCCTTCACCTGCCATGCCTCTAGCACCCGGTTGATCGCGTGACGGGCGCCGGTCAGTCCGGTATCGTCGCGCGCCGCTTCAGAGACGCCAGCCTTGAGCATCGCCCGAGTCGGGTCCGACGACTTGAGCCACATCGGGCCTGTGCCAAAGACATGCTTGCTTCCACCGAGCACAATGGCATCCGGCTGCGCGTCGCGCAAGACCGTGCCAAAGTCGAGGCTTCTCGCCAGCGAGCCGGGCAAAGGCGCCGCAAGCCAGTCGGCGAACCACGGCGCGGCCGGATCGTAGACCACCACGTCGAGCTCGCAGAACAGCAGGCCGTGGAGCGCTCCCAGTACCGCCGATGCCTGCCCGGCTTCGTCGGCAGAGGCATGCTTGGCCAGCGACAGCATGGCAAAGCCGGCCTCGGAGAGCGCTGCGAGCACGTGCGCAGGCGCGCCGGCCGGAATAAGAACCAGCGCGTCGACGAGGCTCGGCGACGCCCGTGCCAGCAGCGCGGTGTGGAGCACAACCGAGTCGAGGGTGGCATCAGGAAGGAGTGGATAGACGAGAACAAGGCGGAAGAACAGCTGATTTGCCTGCGGATACGCGGCTCCGCTTACTGCGGCAAACTCAATGTCGGCGTACGGGTGCGGGAGGCGGATCATGCCGTCGCCGTGGCGGCCAAACCCGCAATGGGTCGGCATCAGTGGCCAGTAGTTGAGCGAGGTCAACGCCGGGGCGGCGGCCGACTCGACTTGCTTGCGCTCGGCCTCGGAAAAGACCGGAAGCCACGAGTGCGAGCGCTTGAGGCGGCCGCGGGCCGAAGTCGCTACCGCGCAGGATATGCGATGATCTGGCACCGGAACACCAAGGTAGTCGAGCATGGTCTTGAGCCAGTAGCCGGGATCAGCGCGCATGTCCTCGTACCGCACCACCAGCGGGGCGTCGGCCAAGACGAGATGCGCGAACTTACGGTTTGGCGCGGCCCAGTAGCGGAAGAAAGCGGCCCAGAGCGAGGCCTCGGGCTGGAGGCGGGCCTTGTACTTGATCCAGGCATCGAGCGAGCCCTCGTCGACATGCGACAACGAAGTCAAGTAATGAAACTTAGAGACGATGGCATCGAGCGGATTACGGACGAGGATGATGGCCTTGCGCCAGGTATCGGCGGCAATGTCGCCCATGCCGCCGCGATGGGTCTTGACCAGCAGCGTCCGGGCGTAGTCGGCCATGGTCACTCCCTCGCCGTGCATCCCGGCGCTGATGAGCCCTGTGTCATTGTAGATCGACGAGGTCACCACTCCAGACGCCATCTCCAGCATCTCGCGGCACCACGTGTTGCCCGAGCCCGGATACGAAGCCAGCGCCGACGGCGGCCAGGCCAGTGGCGGGAGGATGACCGCCTGCCTGGCCTCGCATCCGCCGCCTGGCTCAGCCCACCGAGCCTTCACCTCTGGTGGCACAGGAAGCAGCGCGTTGGGTGCAGGCCCCTTGTCCGTTTCGACCGCCCATCCCCACCCCCGCCGCTGCTCAGGCCGAGTCGCCCTGGTGAGGCTCGCGTGTGCCCAAGCGGCAGGACCGCCAGCTGGGCCACCACTGCTGCGCCAATGGCAAGTGCAAGCACTCGCTGCGCCCACCACCATCCGCCGCGCTGGGCTCCTCGGTGTGGCATCTGCTGCGCCATGGAATGCAGGCGGAGAAGCAGAGAGGGGAGAGGAGTGGAAAGGAGGGGAGGGGAGGGGGGACGAGGCTGTTGAGGTGACGGTTCATTGCCAGGTACAGTGCGTGCAGTGCGTGTGCTGTGGTTGGATGAAGTGCAAGTGTGCGTGCGTGATTGCAGGTGCGATGTGGTGGTGTGGTGATGTGGTGATGTGGTGATGTGGTGATGTGGTGGTGTGCTGGTGGTGGGGTACTGGTGGTGGCTGGCCAGGCGCACCACCAGAGGGTGCGCGGCAGGTGACGGGCCGCGGTAGACGGAGAGAAAGTGGCCGCCTCAGAGGTTAAAGCCGTCAGAGGGCACGCTGGGCATGTCCTGGTTGAAGGCGTAATGGCCGTCGGTGGCCTGCGGGGCGTTGTCGAGATCGTCGTCCGAGTCGCCGGAGAAGAAGCGGGTGATGATGGTGACGGCCTTCTTGTACACGTCGTGGTTCTGGTGGGACTGGATCTTGTCGAGCTTCTCGACACCGCCGGCCTCGTCGACCATGGCCGCGTACTCGTTGAAGCCCAAGGTCTTCGCGTCGAGCTCGCCGACCTTGAGGATCTTCTCGAGGCCCTCAAGAGCGACGATGATGATGCCCGGGTCGTTGACGAGGAGCAGGTCGCAGAGCGGCGGGATGGCGCCGCGCGAGACGATGTAGCGAATGTGCTCGGGCGAGCCGCCGGAGGTGAGGTTGGAGATGGCCCAGGCAGCCTCGCGCTTGGTCTTGAAGAACGTTGAGGTGTTGAGGATGTCGATGAGCGGGCCGATGAGGTTGGCGTCGATGACGGCCTTGATCTGGTGCTTGTTGCCTGCGGTGATGTTGGAGATGGTCCAGCACGCCTCCTTCTTGATGTTCTCCTTGGCCGATCCGAGAAGGAAGAGGAGGCACGGAAGGACGGCGCAGTTGAGAACGCACTGAGTCTGCACGTCGTTGCCGGTCACAATGTTGCCGACGGTGCGGAGAGCCGGGACCTGGACCGACGGCGAGTGGTGCGAGAGGAGCTCGACAACGCGACGGCAGACGCCAGCGTCGATGACCTGCTGGATGCGGGCGTCGGCGCCGTCCGAGAGGTACGAGAGCGCCCAGAGAGCGTCGGTGAGGACCTCGTCGTCGTTCGAGTAGATGAGGCGGGCGAGCGTCGGGAGCGCCGGCGAGACGTACGACCAGTCCGGCTGCGGCTTGCCGCGGCAGAGGTTCGAGAGCGTCCAAGTCGCGTTGCGCATCATGGACAGCTTCGACGCCGCGGTCAGGTTGTACAGCAGCGGCTCCATGACGTTGCAGCTGAGCACGTAGTCGCGGCACTGGGTCGAGTCGCCGGCAATGTTGCCCAGGCACCACACCACCTGCTCGCGCACGTCCGGGTTGCCCTTGGAGAGGAGCTTGACCAGGAGCGGGACGGCCTGGTTGGTGATGACATGCCGGGTCTGGTACGACTGGCCCGAGGCAATGTTTGTCAGCGCCCACGCGGCCTCAAACTGCAGCTGCGGGTGGTCGTACGCCTCGAGGAACTGCACAAAGATCGGGACCGCGCCGTTGTCGATGACAAGGTCAATCGGCGGGTTCATCTCAATCGAGAGCAGCTTGCGGAAGAGCATGCACGACTCGAGCATGAGCTTCGGGTCGTTCGACGTGATCTGCTGCATCATCAGCGGGAGCTTGTCGATCCTCTGCTCGCCGCTGGGGTCGGTGGTGAACCCAGCCTCCTCGGCAACAACAGCCTCCTCGCCGGCAAGCCCTGCCTGCCGCCGCTTGCGGAGCTTCTCGTTCTTCTTCTTCTTGCGGATCGAAATCGTCGTCTTCTCGCGCTGCCGCCGCGCGTCCGTCGCCGAAATGCCGGCCTTGTACGACTCCTGTCGCGCCTTCTGGCGCTCGCTCATGTCGTCACCAAAGGGATCCATGCTTAATCCTGCGCCGGTGTCGTTGCTGTAGTGAGTTGGCTGTCTCTCGCTTCAAACTGCGCGTGCCGGCCGGGTCAAACCAAAGCGGTCGCGCTTCGCGGCTTTTGTGGCTCCCGAAAAGATCCCAAACAGCAAGCGGGGCGGCTAGAAAAGGGGAGGGGGGGGGGGGGGGGGGGAAGGGCCTACGGCAGCGCAGGAGGGACAACTAAGGGGGGAGTGGGTGTACGGGGTGTAGCCTCGTCGGTGTCTGGGGCAGGGGCTCGTGACTCGGCTGTGCCATGAGCAGCATCCGCATGTGGCGCCGCGAAGAGTGCGACACGCGAGGCGAACATGGCCAAGATGTCCCAATGTACGTCGGCGAGCGCGCGCTTCGCAGCCGGACCGACGAGATTTACACCGGCACATATGCGGAGCGTGTGATGGTGAAGTGCTCACCCGTGGGCATACCTGCCTTGGTAGCATGATGGGGTACAAGATAGGGGTGAAGATGGGAGGGAGAGTGCAACAATGGGGAAGGGTGGGGTGTGTATGGGGTGGGAGGGGGGACATACTTTTAGATTCCTTGTTCAAACTTTCGGGAGACGGGTGTGACCAATGCAAGGCGCGGATAGCTATCAACAATTAATTCGAAGGAATGAATGAGGGCAGGAATGCATGGCCATTGGTTCGTTTGTTCGTTCATTGTCATCGTTCAGTGTCATCGTTCGTTCGTTCGTTCGTTCGTTCGTTCGTTCGTTCGCTCGTTCATTGGTTCGTTCGTTCGTTCGTTCGTTGTCATCGTTCGTTCGTTCGTTCGTTCGTTCGTTCGTTCATTGTCATCGTTCAGTGCCATCGTTCGTTCGTTAGTTCGCTCGTTCGTTCGTTCGTTCGCTCGTTCATCGGTTCGTTCATTGTCATCGTTCAGTGCCATCGTTCGTTCGTTCGTTCGTTCGTTCGTTCGTTCGTTCGTTCATTGGTTCGTTCATTGGTTCGTTCATTGTCATCGTTCATTGTCATCGTTCGTTCGTTCGTTCGTTCGTTCGTTCGTTGGCTGCTTGGCTGTGGTTCATTGCTTGGCCGACGGCATGCAATTCACGGCCATTTCCTGTTTCCTTTGCCAACCTTGCACACGCGACAGCGACACGTGGCAGGGGATTGGACGGCACCACTTGTCCACAGCAAAGCCCAGTGCTCTCTCTCCCCGCTGGTGCCAACACAGTGTGAGTGTGCAACTTCATGGCTTCATCCTGCGAACTCTGCTCCCACAAGGCGGCCCAGAGTGACGGCGAGTACGTCGCAAGCCAACCTCTCCAACCAGACGCACTCGCACACACTAGGCCGAGACCAGTCCTCCGCCGCCCTCCCCCATACCCCGGCCTCCGTATGGTCTTGCCCCACACCACCTCTTCCTGCAGCATGGTCGTCAAGTTGCTCAGTGCCATCGTTCGTTCGTTAGTTCGCTCGTTCGTTCGTTCGTTCGCTCGTTCATCGGTTCGTTCATTGTCATCGTTCAGTGCCATCGTTCGTTCGTTCGTTCGTTCGTTCGTTCGTTCGTTCGTTCATTGGTTCGTTCATTGGTTCGTTCATTGTCATCGTTCATTGTCATCGTTCGTTCGTTCGTTCGTTCGTTCGTTCGTTGGCTGCTTGGCTGTGGTTCATTGCTTGGCCGACGGCATGCAATTCACGGCCATTTCCTGTTTCCTTTGCCAACCTTGCACACGCGACAGCGACACGTGGCAGGGGATTGGACGGCACCACTTGTCCACAGCAAAGCCCAGTGCAGAAGCCCCCCTCTCTCTCCCCGCTGGTGCCAACACAGTGTGAGTGTGCAACTTCATGGCTTCATCCTGCGAACTCTGCTCCCACAAGGCGGCCCAGAGTGACGGCGAGTACGTCGCAAGCCAACCTCTCCAACCAGACGCACTCGCACACACTAGGCCGAGACCAGTCCTCCGCCGCCCTCCCCCATACCCCGGCCTCCGTATGGTCTTGCCCCACACCACCTCTTCCTGCCGCAGACCACCACCTTTTGGCCCTCTGGGCCTTCCCTCTCCCTCCTCCCTCCGTTAACCTATGCCACCTCACTCCAACCCCTCCCTCCCTCCCTCCCTCTCCCACCAACAGAACGGTACACGTCGACGGACTGGGGCACTGCCATCTACGATGCCTGCGATGCAACGTGTGTGTGGTGGCGCTGACGCCGCTGACGGCGACGGTGCGTGATGACCAGGTCTTCTGTGTCCTACATGCTGCTTCGGCTGGACGCCAGCGGCCGCCGGCCGGCTCGAGCTCGGCCGACGGCTCGGCCGGGCCGAGCGAAGGGCTGCGGACGCCTGCGCTGAGCGCTGGATCGGACGATCCACTCCTGCGTGCAGCGTCGTCGGATGAGATTGTGCTCTCGTCGCCGTCGGCGACCGAGGCCGTTGACGACGCGCTGCCGGACGGCGCCGAGCATCCGCCGCTGCGAATGAGGCGGCGCGGGTCGATGATGCGACATGAGCGCGAGGCGCGGTCGCGGTCGCGGGCCAACGGTGCGACCATTATGATTGAGGCGCTGCCGCTGCCGGTGGCGGTCAATACCGAGCGCCGGGTGTCGACAGCGGCGCGGCGGGCCAACACGCGCCACATCCTGCGGTCGTCGACGCAATTATCCGATGCTGAGCTGGCTGCCGCCGGGCTGTCAGCGAGCGCCGCGGGGACTGAGAGTCATGCGCATGGACTGGAGCTTGCCAAGGAGCCAATCGGCCAGGCGGTTTCGACAAAGAAGCGCAAGCAGTCGCTGGCGCCATCAGTTGGCTTGAGTGAGAGCGCCACCGGGCTGCCGCAAGCGACTGTCTCGGCGTCAGCAAGCCAGCCAACAGGAGCCCGCCGCAGCAGGAGCGGGGCGTCGGCGGTCGCGGCGTCGATCGGCTCGTCGCTCTCGTCCGAGTCGTCGCCGGCCGGGACCAGCTCGGTGGCATCGGCGGAGCAAGGTGCCGAGAGCGTGGCCATGCACCCGCGTTTCTCATTCTACTCTGTGCGGGCGTCGTCCTCGCTCGGGCGAAGCGACCGGCTGTACGGCGACGAGGACATTGACTCTGCGTTTGCGTTTGAGAGCGATTATGACGAGGACGATGAAGGCGACGACGATGGCGAGAGCCATGCAGGCGGCCGGCTCGCACCAGCGTCGCCCATCTCCATCCGGTCTCGGCTCAGCACGGTTGGCCCGCGACGAGTGGCTGAGTCGATCGAGTCTGCGGCAACGCCGCCGGGCCGGACCCCGCTGGCGAGCCTGTTTGTGGACGACGATGACGGCTGCGCCGACGGCGTAGCAGCGGCCAGCAGACTCGACCCTGCGCTGCACGGCGCAACGCCTGCAGAGACGGTGCAGCGGTACATGCAGCATCTCGAAGCGGCAAACGGTGGGCTGGTCATCCGTCCGGGGAGCGGGCCCGAGTCGGGCCGAATTCGGGCTGGGACGGCCGAGGTGCTGGTGGAGCGACTGACGTACCACCGCAATCCAGACCCGGAGTTTGTGCGGACGATGCTGTTGACGTACCGATCGTTTCTGACGTCTGAAGAGCTGCTGGAAATGCTCGGGCGGCGGTTGAAGTGTCCGGTGCCTATGGCGCTGGCGAACGACGACGAGCTTGCAGCGGCGTTTGAGACAACGGTGGCACGGCCTGTCCGGCTCCGGGTCTTCTCTGTGGTCAAGTATTGGATGGTGACGCACTTTACGTATGATTTCTCGGGCTCAGCGGCGATGAATGCAGCTCTGGACGTGTTTGAAGAGCGGCTGTGTGAGGAGCTCCCGGGACTCGGTGCGCGGCTGGTGAGCCAGCTTGCGCGGCTGCGGAGCGGTGGCAACAACCAGCGGTTTGTGGCGTCAGGATCTGCACCTGCGCCCAAGGTGCCCAGGGCTCTGGGTGCCGGGGCCATGACGGTGCTCGATGTGGACCCAACCGAGCTGGCGCGGCAGCTGACGCTGATGGAGATGGAGATGTACCGGGCCATTCAGCCGTATGAGTGCCTCAACAAGGCGTGGTCACAGTCTGCGGTCGAGGCGCCGCATATCATTGCGCTTGCCAAGCGGTTCAACTATGTCTCGAGGTGGGTCTCGACGCTGGTCATCACCCTCGGCGGGTCTGCCGTCAAGCGGCGTGCAGCAGTGATGAAGCACTTTCTGGCGGTGGCAAAGGCGTGCCGAGCGCTCAACAACTTTAACGGAGTGATGGAGGTGCTTTCGGGCCTGCACTCGAGTCCGGTGTATCGGCTGAAGAAGACGTGGGCAGCCCTGTCCAAGTCTGCCACGTCGACGCATGCCGAGCTCGACGCGCTTGTCTCGACCGACGGCAACTACAAGAACATGCGCGAGCTGCTACGGTTTGTGGAGCCGCCGGCGCTGCCGTACCTCGGCATCTTCCTGTCGGACCTGACGTTCATCGAAGACGGCATGGCCGACCGGGTCGGCGCCGACGAGCTGGTCAACTTTACCAAGCTGCGGCACATCGGCGTCGTCATCTCGGGCATTCAGATGTTCCAGCAGCTGCCATATGCACTCGAGCCGCTATCTGCCCTGCAAAGCTGGATCCTGGGCCACACCCTTGTCGACGAGAACGATCAGTATGCGCTCTCGCTCAAGTACGAGCCGAGGAAGAGCTAGCGGTTTACGTCGACGAGCTTGCCGACGAGCCGCTGTCCGACGAGCCGCTGGCAGTTGATGTGCCCGAGGCTGAGCTCGAGCTGGTGGCCGATGCCGAGCTCGACGTCGAGCTCGAGCTTGACGTGGACGAGACCGAGACGGTGGCTCCGGCCTCGAGCATCATGACCATAAAGCTCTTGAACTCGTCGCGATCGACCTTCCCGTCGGCATCGGTGTCAACGCCCTCCCACACATCCTTGAACTCGCCAGGCGTCATCGGGTCGAGGCCGAGCTGGGCACACGCCGCGTTGGCCGCCTTGCGGATCTCCTTCTTAGACAGGTGGCCCGACTTGTCCGCGTCGTACTTTTTGAACGCCTTGGCGCAAACCTTCTTCAGCTTCATCGGGTTGTTGAGGATGTGCTCGGGCGTGCTGCCCTTGCTCGCCTTGCCCTTGGCCTTGGCCGCCTTGCCCTTGGCCTTGGCCGCCTTGGCCTTGCCCTTGCTCGCCTTGCCCTTGCCCGTGGCCTTGCCCTTGCTCGCCTTGCCCTTGCTCGCCTTGCCCTTGCCCTTGCTCTTGCCCTTGCTTGCGACCTTGCTTGCGACCTTGGCCACAGCAGCGGCCGACGCCGACGACTCCGAGTCCGAGTCGTGCGAGAGAACGATGCCGGCCTCAAAGGCGTGGCGGACGAGCTCACGGAACTCGAGCAGATCGACCTCACCGTCGTTGTTGGTGTCGATGTCGTCGTAATACTCGTTGAACTGGGCCTTGGAGAGGGCAGGCATGCCCGCCTGCTCAAAGATGTCATTGACTGCCTTGCGCACCTCGCCGCGGTCCAGCACGCCCGACTTGTCCGAGTCTGCCGCATTGAATGCCTTCTTGCATGCCTTGTTGAACTTCTTGGCGTCTGTGGGGTTGGGAGGGGTGAGGGGGAGGGGGTGAGGGGGGTGAGGGGGAGGGGGGTGAGGGTGGTGAGGGGGAGGGGGAGGGGGAGGGGGCGTACCCTTGAGCACGTCTTCGGCATTGCCCTGGGTCACCTTGACCTTTTTGCCCATGGTGGAGGTGTGGTGGAGTGGAGTGGAGTGACTTTGCAGCGGCTGGCGGGTGATTGGCTGGCTGGCTGGCGGGTG